GTGTGTGTGTGTGTGTGTGTGTGTGTGTGTGTGTGTGTGTGTGTGTGAATCCAGAGCAAATGGGCCACTCAGAGAAAAGGGAATGAGTAGAGTGTTCCAGCCCTCTGGGTATAGCAGTGGTGATTACAGTTAGATAAAACTCATGTTTTACAAAACTCATGCGTTCCAACCTGTGAGGGAAGCAATGAAAGCATTCTTATCTCCATTTTCCAGATAAGGAAGCTAAAAACTGCAGAGAGGAAATAGTTTTTGTAAGGTCAGTTATTCAATCATTTTTCAGTTGTATCTGACTGTTTACGACCCCATTTGGGGTTTTCTTGGCAGGGATAGTGGAGTGGTTTGCCATTTTCTTCTCCAGCTCATTTTACAGATGAGAAAACTGAGGCAAATAGGGTTAAGTGACTTGCCTAGGGTCACATAGCTAACAAGTGTCTGAGGGTGGATTTGAACCCTGGGAAATGATTATTCCTAACTCCAGGCCCAATGCTTTATCCACTTGGCCCCCTAGCTGCCCTTCGTAAGGCCGCATAGCTGGTAACCAGCAGAAGTAAAACTCAAAGCTAAGTCTCTTGACACAGGGCACTTTGCTCCCTCCTCTAGCCCTCAGGAACACAGAAAAATGGGGTTGGCTATGTCTGACTTGAGCAGGTATAGACAGATATAAAGCGGTAAATGAAGGTTCCTACTGTACCCTCACCCCAGCCCTCAAAAACGACATCTTAGGATCAAGAAGGAAGAGTGCTCCTTCCTGTAGCAAAGGGAGTTTGAGGTAGACACAGACCCTGAATAATTCAGAGGATATTCTCTGGAAGTCAGAGCACACTCCTCTCTGGCTGTGAAGAAAATACGTTTGCTGGAAATCTTCCTGGGGGAAGGGTTTTCTATTTCCTGGCTCTGTTCCTCTGGTGCAGCCAGGCTAGTTGCAGGCAGAGATCCAAGGCATGAGATCAATCTATGAAGCAGAGACAACTCTGCCCCACTTCACTCCCCTTCAGAGTCCAGAGAGCCCCAAGTGGTGAAGGATGGACCCAGGCAACATGGATCCCCCTTCCTGGCTAAATCCATTTGTCAAATGAAGTCACAGGTCAGTTTTGTGACTTGGTCACAAAGTGAGGCAGATTACTTGGTCCAGGCGCAAACCAGGGCCAGGAGTATCTAAGAAGCCAACTTACCCAGTTCCATTCTTCTCCAGCCCAGGCATGTCCTGGGGGCTGTCAGAATGTCATCAGACTAGGATATTTCCATCCCTTAAGATGAGAATAAGATCCTAGAGTTTGAGGACCTTAGAGATGGCCTGGCTGATGTTCTCAGATACCGCCCAGAGAGGGAGGAAGAGATTTGGCCACGGTCGTGTGGAGCTAGAACTGGAACCCAGGTTTCCCTTAATCCCAAATCGAGTTTTCTTTCCATTATATCAGACCAAAGGAGCGGGTGTAATTTGTACCCTCTCGTGTCCAACTTCATATTCTTCTCTCCAGACCTGCTTGCTACTCCCCTATCATGTTACATTCAAAATCAGCGTAAGTAACTCCATTTTGCTTTTATCTGCCATTTTGCGAAGGTAAGTTTCAACTGCCTTTAAGTCATCTGATCTTTTTTTTTTTTTGCCTTTGTGTATGTGTGTGTGTGTGTGTGTGAGGCTATCGGGGTTAAGCCCAAGCTAGTCAGTATCAAGAGTCTGAGGCCGGATTTGAACTCAGGTCCTCCTGACTCCAAGGCCAGACCTCTATCTACTGCACCACCTAGCTTCCCCAAGTCATCTGATCTTAAGTTACAAGATTACTCCACCCCTCCCAAAAGTCACCCGATTTAGGGAATATCACAAAACTAATCCCTCTCCCTCTAACTTCAGGGTTTCCCAACCCACCCCCCCCATACACACACACAATGAGGGACCAGATGTCTCCATCTCTATAAGCCTGTGTTTCCTGTTGTTCAATCCCTCCAAACTGTGAGAAACCTGGCTTCTGGGTCCTTGGCTACTGAGAGCCTTGGTTCCAGTTTGCTTTGCAACTGTATGCATTGCCAAATAAATCATTTGTCTGGATGAAACTCAGTTTCTTCCCTGCCCCCTCCCCCCATAAATGCCATCCTTCCCCTCTGTCAACCTCTTGCTCAATCCCCAAACCTACTCCACTCTCCACTGCTAGCTATACCCCAACTCTACTAGGAACCCAGTCATTTCACGGCTAAGCTGAGCAGGAGAGTTGTTATTTTAACACCATCATAAGATCACATTTCATGAGGGGAAAAAAATTATTCCTATCTTTCGTTCTTCTATCACCTTCATTTCCAGATAGAGGTTGTCCCAATAGCTTCAAAACACACTAAGACTTTTAGGACACCCTATATATCCTTACTCCTCCCCTACCCAGAAAGCCATCCTCCAAAGATAATGCAAGGGGGCAAGTGGGTCAGCAATATGAACTAACAGATCAGCTGAGCTTTGTAGGGTACAAAATGTTTGCCCTTCCATCTTCCCACCTCTGCAAAGATCTCCTATCTCTGAAAAGACAGGGCGATGTTTTCTCATCCCTTCTCTAAGAGCAAGGTGGGTCATCCTAATCACACAGGAGAGAACCCGTTCCTATAGTGTTTTAAATTTTACAAAGTGCTTTTTTCAGAACAGCCTTTGTGACGTAGACAGCACAGAGTGCACTGTCTCCATTTTATGGATGAGGAAACCAAGGCTGGGAGGGAACCCACCATACATCTTGTGTAGCCATTCTGGAGGGAGAATCCCCTCTTGTTGGGGGTCGGAGGATCTGGGGCTAGAAGGGACCTCGGTCCAAGTCCTTTATTTTACAGATGAAGAAAATAAGGAAGACAGTGACTGTCCCAGGGTCACACAGCTAGTGTCTAAGGTTGGATTTGAACTCTGGTCTGCGTGACTCCATGTTCAGTGCTCCATCCACTGCACCACCTAGCTGCCTCCAAGGTCACACAAGTAATAAATGGTGGTGTTGGGTATCAGACTTTGAATCGATCCCCCTTTCCATTATACAACAGCCTTGGGCTATTGCCAAGGGGAATTCTTGTTCTGGTATGGGCTGAACCGCATGTTGCCTGAGGCATCTTCCAATCTAGTAATCCTATGGACACCCATTTAGTGCTCAATGGAACCCCTGACGGTTGGTAGAATATTTTCAACTTTTCTGGGCAGGGAGAGAGGTTGAGCTCTGTCTTCCAAGTAGCCATTAAATTCCCTGATGAATTTATGAGACAGAACTGTTGCCTGATGGTCCACAAGCAACATAGAGACCCCTTACAACTTGGACAAAGGCCAGAAATCCCAGGGAGCCTAATGCTAGCTCAGCCCTGATGTGATGGCTGAGGGGCCAGGCCCTCACCACTAGTGTTAGCTTTACCATTTCAAATCCAGTCCACTTGCTTACCCCCAAGAATATCTTCTGCCTGCATCAGAATCATGGAGTGTTTGAGCTAGAAGAGAGAGACCTAAAGAAATTAGGCCCAAAATCTTCTTCAGCTTAGGAGAAAATGGCCCATTGTGGGGTGGGATGGTGATTGACTTATCCAGTGACAAAAATAGTGAGTATCTAGAGTGGCGATTAAAACTTAGGTCTCTGGACTCTCTAGTCCTTTGTGTCAAGCTATGGGGACCTTGCTAAGTGGCTTTCTAGATTTGCCCCCCCACCCCTGTCTTACCCGTCTTTCAGCAGCACCACATGGGCAAGTCTTTTGGGTGCCAAGGCCCGGCCCTGATCATACAGCCCTGACCCCCACTGGGTCTGAACCAGAAGGAATCCTAGGAATTACACCATTAGAGTGGTCCTCCATCATGCTCCACATTTCCCAGGTAGAAGTTGGTGTGCTATGATTGAATGACATGATCTCCAGGAGATCTTCTAGCTTCAAATCCCCTAACCCAAGGAAGCCGGCCACTCCTTCATTCCACCCAATCCCAATGGCCACTGAGGATCGCCCATGCCTACAGGCCAAGCTCCTGAGCACGCCACAACATCGCCACTGAGATCAGATTTGTTACAAATCCAGTTTATTTCTGAGCTCTCTACCCTGTCTAGTTCTGAGCTTCTCAGGTCTGTACACGCAATCTTCCCAATGCCTACCTCTACCCCAAGGCGCTGGGCCGCCTCTCTGGGAAGTTGCCACCTGAAAAAGGGACCTAGCTTCTTAGAGAAGGAAGCCAATTTATTTCCTGCTTCCCCAGGAAGCTACTACTTATAGAAACTTCAGGCTAATTTTGTTGCCAGACGACTGTTGGGATCCAGGGTCCACCCCTCCCTCCCTCCCATCATCCCTCTCCCCTTACACACGTACACATATGTTCACACTCATAACCAGCCACTGCTGTCTTCCCAGGTGCCCTCTAAATAGTATTTGGAGACCATAAAAGGAAGGCAGATTTCTCCCTGAAGCTAGGACCCTCTCCCTCTCATTCTTGTGGTTGGGGTGCTAGGTTGGTGAGACCTGTTATTCAGCAGCACCAGGTGGGTAACCCTTCTTTGGCTGCCAGGGCCTACCCCTGATCGCACAGCTGTGACCCCCACTGAATTTGTACCAAGTCTTGGCCAATGGCAGCTGAGTCAGCACAGTGGTGACACTCAGGTGGTGGCAGGTGGTAACCTGAGCCTCTAGGCACCGAGCAGGGGGCCTTAAAGGATAGGTTAGGACCTTAGCAGTAGGGTCATATTAGAGAAAAATCAGCCCATCCTTCCAAAAGTCATATGTGAGAGGGTTAGACATGGCCCTTTGGCAGCCCCTAGCCACAAGCCCTATTTCATGGTCCCCCCAGGGAGAAGGAGAAAGGCAGTGGGACTTCAGTATAGCCTGTGGGAAGGAGAAGGGACTGCCCGTTCCTCTGAACAACCCATGCCAAATTGTGGCTGGTTAGGAGTGTGAAGGAAATCATTTCTTTGTATCAATAAGAAAACCCTGAAAGGCAGTAAGGGAGAAAGGGGACATAGGAAAGGACAGGGCTGAGAGTCAAAGGGGGATAGGGAGACAAAAGATGCAAGTCGACTTTCCATCTCCATCCAGAACAGGAAGACAAAACCTTTCCAAGCGGTCGTCTAAGAGTTCTGAAAACAGACCAGGCAGGAAGGGATCAGGCCAGGGGGAACGAGGGGTGTTTCTTCAGACAAGGCCTGTAGTACGAGCCTGGGGTCTGGAGCCTCCAGATTTGGGGGAAGGCCACAAATGAGGGAGGGGGCTGGGATATGATTTGCTGGGACCTTCGGGGGCTCCTGAGAAAGCAAGAATGTCCGGAGCCCTGCACAGCAGGAGGGTGGGGCAGGAGGCAGTCAGGGCCACCTCAGTACTTGGGGACCTTGCTGTAGTCTTCTGAGTGGACATGTCGGCACAGGCAGATGGACAGTATCATTCCCAGGAGCTGAAGAAACAGAAGCACAGGGTCAGACCATGTGGAGAGGTCTCAGCGCCTCCGAGAGACTAAGATCCGTCCAAATATCGGCTTAGAAGGCTGTGACTCTTGTTCAACCCATCCTTAAAACTGCAAGGAGCTGCGGTCTTCACCCACATAGATTACAACCCCCTTACAGCTTAACTTATCTTTTGGGGGGCAAGGGGTGTGTGTTCTGTTTAAGGGAGTCTGGCAAGAGGATCTGAAGTAAAAGGACTCAGTTTTGAATCCTACTTGGGACGTTTTCTACCAACCTGTATGACTTTAAGCGAGTCATTTCACCGGGCCTCAGTTTCCTCATCTGTCAAATAAGGGGCTTGGATTCAATGACCCCTAAAGTCTCCTCCAGATCCAAATCTATGATCTCATGATCCTTTGAATTGAATTAGGAGTTTCTAGGTTTCAAATATTTTATCAATTAGTGAATAAGTGCTTACTCTGAGCCAGGCACCGTGCTAAGCATTTGAGATACAAAGTAAGGGGAAAAAAAAAATTTTAAAAAATGGGCCCTTCCCTCCAGGAATTCAGAGTCAAAAATCTTCACCCTGTGGGCAGCCTGGAGAGAATCCTTTGGAATGTCTCAGGGCTGGTCCTCGCCATTACCAGCCCATTCCCTGAACCTTTCCTGGCTGGCTGGGACTTAGAATAACTCTCAGGGAAGTCCTACTGATCATTAGAAAGATGTCACAGATTTTGTTCTAATTCAAAGTGGTTGCTTTAAGGGGAGAAGGAATGGAATTTTAGTTAGGTTTTGTTTTTTTAATGTGTTTCTGTTAGCCAATTAACCAAGTCAGTTTTGGCACGGGGATCAGAATTTGGTTCAAATTCCCAGTTGCATCCCATCCCCCATCCTCCCTTCGCCTGACTTCTTCCCATCAGTAACATCCCATACGCTCATTAAACACTTTATTGTTTACAAAGCACCTTCTACTTAGTCAATTTATTGTTCCTTATAGCAACCAAATGAGATAGGGCAAGGCTGGGCTTATTATCCCAAAATTCACAGATGAGGAAACTGAGGTTCAAAGAGACTTTCCCAAGGTTATTAGATTCATTAGCGACAAAGCTCAGGTCTTCTGAGTACCAATCAGGAGCTCTTCCCACGATATCACATTATGTTTTCCCATCAGAGATATCTAGCAGGACTTTATCCCAAGATGAATTTAGATTGGCCAAACTAGATGATTAAGGGTTTATCTGCGGTGGGGAGTGGGGACAGTGTAGGATTTCAGACTAGGAGGGGCTTTGGTCTGCCCTCAACTCATTTCACAGAGGAGAAAATGACTCCCAGAGAGGGGCAGGGATTTGCCCAAGGTCACACAGCTAATCATCAGGAGAGCTGGGATCTGAACCCTGGTCCTCTGACCCCAAAATTCTTTTCTCTATTGCTGCCACATTTTTCCTGGAGAAATGAGCTCCAGAATTTCTGCCCAGCAGGAATGTGGGAACAAGTCAGGAATCCCAAGAATGGGCCAGGGCCAGAATGGCCAAGGATGCCAAGAACAGTGGAGCTGAGTGAATTCAGACAGCTCACAGACCACGGTGGCAAAAGGGAAGATTTTAGGGTCAGAGACTCAGAGTGGGAAAGAGAGGCCGTAGACGTTGTTCGTCCAACCCCCAGAGAAAGGAAGGGGTAGGAGAAGGTCCTGTGACTCCAAAGCCGGTGTTCCTTCCCCTGGGCCACACTAGAGAAGGCAATTCATTCCATGGATCCCACCCCCCACACACACTTCCTCCTTCTACCACCCACCACACCGTCTCAGGTGGGCATCCCTGGAGGAGGATGAGGCAAGAGAAACCTACCTCAATGACTGCTACTCCAATAGAGACTCCGAGAATGACGCCGAGATTGTCCTGTAGCCATTTCTGCACCCTCTCCATGCAACCCTGCATGGTAAAAATCCAGCTGCATCATAGAGGATGAGGAAGAGGAAGGGCAGGGGAAGACCCGGCCCCTTAGAAAAGTTCAATTCCTCCCACGATTTGGGGAAAGAGTGAGTGTCAAGGGGAGGCCCCCAAGGCTCCATTCGCAGTCAAACCCTTTACCCACCTTGGTGTAAACAGGCCACATGTCAGGATCGTTGACCTGGGTATTATTGGAGAGCGTGCAGAAGCCATTCCTGATCAAGTCCTCCTCATTTATATCAAATGATGACGTGTTGCTGCAGGAACACGGGTAGGTGACCTCTGTCCTATTCATGAGGTTGACATTAGCCGTCCAGTTAAGGTAGCTGGTCCAGCCACAGCACGACACCTGTCACCAGCACACACAAAGAAGGAACATGGGGAGGTTAGAGCTCTGCATTTGAGGTTGGCTCTTCAATGTACCAGGTGTGCGACCTTGGGCCAGGCACTTATCCACTCGGGTCAGCAATCCCTTCTCTAGTTCTGACGTTCCCTCTTCTAAGATCCTTCTCAGCTCTGATTTTACGTTCTCCCGTCCCTCCAAAACTCTGACATTCTATGTTCCCTGTCCCTCTCAGCTCTAATTCTAGGGACCCTTCCAGTTCTGATAGGCCTTCCCCAGTCCTGAAATTCTATGCTTTAAGGTTCCTCCCAGCTGTGACACTCTGTTCTAAGGTGCCGTCTGTATCTGACATCCTACGTTCTCAAACCCTTTATAGTTCTGACACTCTGTGTTCTAAGATCCCTCCCAGTGCTGACATTGTGTTTTCCTGTCCGTTCCAGCTCTGCCATTCCCTGTTCTAAGGTCCTTTCCAGTTCGGACATTCTCCCTTTCATAGGCCCTTCCTTCCAGTTCCACCGTTCTACGTTTCTGTGAGTTTGATGTCAAACATCAAAGGCAGAGTCAGGAGCACATCAGCCACCTCCTCCGGGGTTCCTCTCCCAGGAAAAAGGGGGAGTTTCCTGCCTGGGCTAGGAGCAACAACACCGCCCACTTCAGTGAGGAGCTACGGCTATTTCCCTGGCTATATAGGGAGACACAGTCCCCAGGGACTGACGCCATGCTGGCTCATTTCACTTTGGAGGTTGGTTCAACGACCCTTGAAGCTAGCGTCAAGATGAGTCTGGCTGGGGCAGCAGCAGTGTTAGAGCACCCTCGCCAACCGGAGGAATGCCAAGCCTTGAGGACTCCGTGGGGACCAGGTACCTTTGCAGCTCAGGGGCACTGTCAGAGGAGTCATAAAATCTAGAGTTGGAAGGGAGCCTAGACGTGATCTAGTCCAGTTCTTTCATTTTACAGGTAAGGAAACTGAGGCCCAGAAAAGGGACAGAGTAACAGAGCCACGAATTAAGTCCAGTTCCCTGATCCTAATTCCAATTCTCTCTCTACCATATAACAGTGCCTCACTTGATGACCCCTAAGGCTCCGACCCTGAGATTCTTCAGTTTGCCTCGGATCAAACAGTGAGCACTCAGCTCGCCGTACTCTGCCTCCCTTCTCTTAACCAGGCTAAGAACTACAGCCAGTTTCCCTGCGAGGGAGGATTTTCCAGCACTGGAAAGAACCCCTGGTGATGGAGAAGGCACAAGCCTTATAAACAAGGAGCTAAGCCAAGAGACCTGTGCCTAAACTCTGAAATTTTACTTTATTTTATTTTATCTTTAGGCAATTGGGGTTAAGTGACTTGCCCAGGGCCACACAGCTAGTAAGTGTCAAGTGTTTGGTCTGAGGCCGGATTTGAACTCAGGTCCTCCTGACTTCAGGGCCAGTGCTCTATCCACTGCACCACCTGGCGGCCCCTAAACTCTGACATTTTACAGAGTCCAGCAGGGCTAACTGCCTCAGCTGCTCATCTGTGAAATGGGCATGATGTCTGGCCTACAGCAAGCACTTAATAAATGTTTTCTCATTCGCTCATTTATCATAGTACTTACAGATGTTTTATACTTGCCATTAAAACAGTTGGAAGAAAAGTTATTTAAAGAAGTAAAGAATTATAAGTTATTATTACTTCTTTGTCCTTAACTTTTCTTTTAAAGGAATTTAATATAATTGGCATGCCAAGATTTCAGGCAAACCTGATATCTGAACAACCAAGTTGACTCTTAAAAGTACAGATTAAGATGTGATTATTGCCTCGACAGGATTTCACCATGTAAATTCACTTATACATTAAGGTCCTCTAATACCTTTAAATGAATGAATAAGCAAGAGAATGAATGACCAAATGCATGAAATGAGTGAATGAATGAATGAAGTAAGTGAAGGAATACCCCTCCCAAAAAAAAACAATAGGTGAATGAATGAATGAATGAAATGAGGGAATGGATGGATGGATGGAGGGATGGAGGGATGGATGAAATAATGAAAAATCATTTGTTAAGCACTTAGCAAAGCCAAGTACTGAGGATATGAATCCTTGCTCTCCCTGAACTTACATTTTTATATGGGAAGAAAATGTATATAGGAGAATGATGACCAGGGAAGAATGTTTTGGAGAGGGAAATCAAAGAGCATGGTGACTGGAGTAAGAGGGTAATTAATGAAGATGCCCATGTCAGCAATGATAGTGTTGATTTATTCTATTTACATACAGCTTTTTGGGAAGCCATGGGTAAGAGATTGTAAGTTGAACTTGGAGTTAATTAGATTTGATCCTTATTAACGTGTGCAAGTCAATGAATTTCTCTGAGCCTCTGTTTCCTCACCTGTAAAATGGGGATAATGACCTCTGTAGCACTGACCTCACACACAGGGTCACTGTGAGGATCAAATGAGCACTTTGCAAACTTAAATATCATTTCAGGAACAAACTCTACAGTTCTCAAATCCTGTGCTGCTCCCTAAACATTCCAACAGTTCAGAAGTAGAATGGTCTGCTTCAGGTGGTAGTGAGCTCCCCAGCACTTGAAGATTTCAGGCAAAAGCTGGATAATCGATTCTCAAGGATGCTGCATGTAATAAAGGGAATTTGTGCTTCTTGTAAGGGATGGACCTCATGATCCCTTACAAATCTGGGTTTCTAAGTCAGGTTTAAGTGACAACTAACTCCTATGAACTGGTCCCTTTTCTGCTGCTAATTCACTGGGTGACCTTGGACAAACTCACCTCCTTCTCTGGGCATCAGTTTCGTCATCTGTAAAAATAAGATGACTGGACTACAAGGTCCCTAAAATCAGTCAGCTGGGAAATTCTCTCAATCAGACATTCCAATACCCACCTGGGGTGTGTGCATTTGCTCCTGGAGCCAGCAGGGGGCGCCCTAAGGCTGTTAAATGTGGTTCAGGCTCCCAGGCTTCCCTGAAGCCACTGAAGGAAATCTACAGCTGCCTCTCTCTAGATTTAGAGCTGGGAGGGAACTGAGAGATCATTTAACCCAAACTTCTCATTTTAGATGAGAAAACCGAGACCCAGAGTGATGAACTGTGGCACATCGGAAAAATCATTAGCCGGGGGGGTCAACGCCTGCCTCTGACATTCACTGCCTATGCAGCCTTGGACAAATTGCTAAATTCCTTGACCTTAGGGTCCCTCATCTGTAAAATGAGGGGGCCTAAATGAGGGGCCTCAGTTTCCTCATCTATAAGATGACGGCTGCCTCAGTTTCCTCGGCTATAGGATAAAGAAGGGCCTCAGTTTCCTCATCTGTAAAATGAGGGGGGGCCTCAGTTTCCTCATCCATAAAGTGAGGGGGGTGAACCAGACAGCCTCTGAAGGCCCTTCCATTCTAGTTCTATGATCAAGGTCACACAGAGAGGAGTGCCCGAATTCAAATCCAGGTTAGCACCAAACTCTAATCTGAGAGTTTTCCCTCCTAATCTGAGATAATCCTAGAATCAGACATTTAAAGCTCAACATCCTATAGCCTAACCCCATTATTTTAACAGAGAGGAGAGAGGAGGTGACTTGTCCAAGGCCACACAGATAATTATCACCAGTAGGACCAAGATAATAGCTAGTAGGAGTTTGCATTTCTAGAAAACCTTAAGATTTGCAAAGTGCTTTACAAATATCATCTCATTTGATTCTCACAACAACCCTGTGGGGTAGCTGCTATTATTATTATTCCCATTTTGCAGCTGAGGAAACTGAGGCAGAAAGAGGTTAAGTGACATGCCCAGGGTCTCACAGTTAGTTGAGAATCAGAGTTGGATTTTCACCACCCAACTTCCACTCTAGGAATCTTTTTATTATGCCACCTCCTACATCATATATTTCATTCTCCAATTGGATCTTACCCCTCATCTCTCCCTCATGTCCCTCTTCTTTCCAGCCTTTGTTTCCTTTTTAAGGGGAGAGTGACATGTGTCTTTATGTTCCCATATTGGCACACATACAGGTTCCCAACAGTGCCCTCCAAGACCCAAGAAGACTTGTATTCCCCAGCCCGGGCTGACTGAAGATGAGGGATAGTACACCCTTGCTGAAGCCAGGGCAAATCTCCTGCCATCCCCTCATCCCCCAGCCTCAAAACAGCTGTCATCCATGGCCCAAGTCCCCGGGTGAAAAAGGCCCAGATGCCCGAGTTCCACTTCCCTCTCCCCTAATACTGTACCTGTGATTGTACATAATCCCAGGCATCCTGAATAGTTTTCTGTTCATGGTTGTCAGGGTCATAATTCGAAATCAGATCGCTCACTATGGTGCTCACTTCCTCCTTCACCTAGAGACATGGGATAAGGGAACAGGAGAGTCAGATGAACTGAAATCCAGGCCTTGCTTCAAAATTCTCCTCCTCCCTTAAATGCTCATGGTGGGCACTAATGTAGAAGGGAGAGGTGTCAATGTTACAAAGAGGTGGCTTCATCCTTCCACACTGACAAACCGTCACCAAGTCAGATGAGACATTCCTTCCCATCAAATCATGAATTACCTCCTCTCCCAGGAAATCTTCCCTCAGATCCTCACTTGGAATCACTTCCCCCCTTGGGCATCATATAGCACTGCCCCAAAGCTCTCAAATCTACATGAAAGGACCAATGATAGCATTGACATCAGTCCTTTCTTCAATGGGGAACAGCTTACCCAAATGGAACTTTAGAATCATGGAATTAGGGCTAGGGACCCCCTCTGTGCCCACGCCTTGGATATAAATAGAGAATTTAATCTAGAACATCAGAGTTAAAGATACCTGAAGGGTATCTAGAGTTTGAAGGAACTACAGAAGTCTTCTAGTCTGACCCATATGGAGATCCCAGAACTCTTTCTGTAATGTGCCTGAGAGGCGGACATCCAGCGTCTCTTTGAAGAGTTCCAGGAAAGGAAAAGTTGCTGCCTCCCAGGGGGCCCCATTTCTTCTCTAATTGTTAGTGACTGTTTCCTGCCTCTCTCCACCTGCCACCAGCTGCTCCTGGTTCTGCCCTCGGGGCAGCTGCATGATGGCCCAATGGGAGGCTGGGTCATCATGGGCAATTCATCTAACCTTTCAATGTTGCAGAAAACTCTCTAGGACAATTGATGAGTTTCCAATATATTGCCATGGAAGGAGTCTCCACACCAGGAGTTCCCCCTATCAAGGAAATCATGGGCCTGGATGAAAAACAGTAAGCTATGCATAGAAGACCTGACTGATTCCCTCAGTACTATCCCAACTTTTTAACAAATCTGATTAATAAAATTTTAATGATTTTTTTTAAATGATAAATCAGAGAGTGAATATTTCCCTTACAAAAGAATTCAACTCAGGAGGCTCTCCAAGCACATATAAAGTAAGACCTAATTCACATGCAGCTTTTCAAGAACATATCAGTATAAAGGGCAACAGACCTGTATGCAAATGGGTGTCATTGTGAGGCAAGCTGCAGGGAGGGAGAGAGGAAGGTTAGAGTCTCCAGAACCACAGCTTTGCAAGAAAGCAGTCTCCCAGAGTGTTTTGGTGCCCCTCCTGTCTGAGCCCTCCTCCTGAGTACCTGGCCTGGCTTCCTTGTTTAGAGTGGAAACCGGCCCCCTGAGCATGCTGCAGAACCTGCCTGGCCAGAGACTCTGGGGGCTGGGGGTGCCCCCCATGAGTCCCTTTCCTTCTTCAGAAACACGAGGGGGCAAAAGGAGAAACTGAGGCTCCTGGCTGGGGGATTTCATATCCCTGAACAGAAAAAGTATCCACACCTTCTGGTTCTGGGGTCAGGGTGCTGAAATGAAGATTTCTGCTTTTCTTTCTTATGGCCATATTAAACAACGATAAAGTGGAGCCCAGTGGACTGGGGGCTCCTAACCCAGGCTCAGCCCACTCCCACTTATTTAAACCCAAGAGGAAGCAGCCACAGAAAGAGTGGGTCAGTTCAGGTCAGCTTCTCATTCCTGGGCTCCTGACAAGCGTGGACAGCTCCCTGACTCCCACACTCTCCAACTCCCCATTCCTTCATGGCCCAGTCCCAAGAATCTTCCTACATTAAAGGGGTCTCTCCCGCTTCCCCCAGAAACAACTGCTGCACTGAAATTAATTTGTATTTCCTTATCTCTGTTCAAGCTTTTCATCCCAGTAATATGTCAGCCCCTTGAGTACAAGATCATTTCATTTCGTCTTTCTATCCCCGGCATTTAGCACAGTACTTCACTCACTGATGTAAGGATCTCCTCCAGTGAGGAATGTCCCCAACAAGGGGAATCAGCACCTGCTCTCAATCTCAGTTGTCAGAGGCAGGACTGGAACCCAGATCCTCCTGATTCTGAGGCTGCTCTGCCTAGAACATGGTAGGGTGCTTCTCCCCAACAATGCACATGCGGGCCTCTATAGTACTCCCTCTTAGAGAGTCCTTCCTACCTTCTCAGTTTGATACGCCTGGGCTCACCCTTCCCTCTCATGGTCTAGATTCCCTTCAGGCCTTTAACTCTGATGTTCTAGATTAAATTCTTTATTTATACCCCAGGTGTGGGCACAGAGTAAGCCCCAACTTCCCCATTTCACAGCCTCAGGGACCCTGAAACAACACAGGGTGATGGAGGCAGAGTAGTTCCCACCAAAGACTCTACAACAGGCCACGGGCTACAGGAGGGGAGGGTTCAAGCCTCTCTGACACCACCATTGGCCACTTTGAGCCGCAATGGCTCCCCAGGAACCCCAGCATTAAGGAGCAAGGGGACCATACATAGCTGAGAATACTGCAATAGGAGGGGGCTGAGAATGCACATAAACCCACTGAAGGGATCCCTAGTTCTGTCTGAGAGGTGAGAAGAGATGGTCTCACCCAGGGCTCACATGCTACCTCCACCTTGCTATGGCCTTTGTTGACTGTCCCAGTCTAACACATGGAGATCCCTCCCTCCTCTGCACTCTCACGGCACTTAGTAGCTGTAATAATAACAATAAACTAGCACTTATATGGTGCTTTAAGGTTTGCAAAGCACTTTACAAATATTACAAATATTATTTCATTTTATCCTCACAAAAACCCTTGGTGATAGATGTTATTATTATCTTCATTTTATAGATGAGGAAACTGAAGTACACAGGGATTAAGTGCTTTGTCAAGGGTCACATAACTAGCAAGTATCTGAGTCTGGATTGGAACTCATGTCTTCTTTATTCCAGGTACAGCATGCAATGAATTTTGTCACCTAACCGGCTCAAAAAAATAATCTTTTCCTCTTCCTCCTCCTCCTTCTCCTCCTTTGTCCTCCACATTCCTGTAGTGATTTGAGGTTCAACAACCTTGTGAAGGAGCTAGTGTAAATGTAGTTATTTCCATTTTACAGATGAGGAAGCCAGAGGTCAGGAGTTGTGGAAGGTCAAAGAGCCAGGACTTGAACCCAGGTCTCCAGGACTGGTTTCAGTATACCATTCATTTATCACCTACTGCTACAGCATCAGTTAATTTAGAAATAGACCTGAGTTCACAAATAAGACTGCAATCTTCTTTTTCCCTTGATGGTTTTACTCGCCTCCAACTGCTCTACCATCCAACCCCACGATGCTCTGTCCACCATCTTTGTTTCCTCCACATTGGCCGTCCCCATGTCTATCCCCCTTCTCTGCCTCTCAGAATCCCCCGTCTTCCTCACTGCTCACCTTCTGGAGAAGGCATTTCCTACTCTCCCCAGCCTCTGGTTCCCTCCCTTCCTAAGTTGCCCAGGCTTCCTACAAGGCTCTCCTTTTTCCCAGCCCCTCCCCATTGCAAAGGCCTTTGGCCTAAGATCACCTTCTATGAGTACAGGTATGTGTCTTGTATGTGAACCACTGTCTACGTATTGTCTTCCTTTGCCCCCTTCCCCCCATTAGACTTCCTTGATGACTTCCTTGATGTCAAGAACCATGTTTTTGCCTTTCTTTGTATCTATAGCATTTGGCACAGTGCCTGGCACACAGTAAGTACTTAATAAATGCTTGTTGTTGACTGACTATACATTCTGTACATATGTATGCATGTATACATATATGCATGCACATGTATGTGTGTGTGTATATTTATTTATTTGACCTCAAGGAGTTTACATTTCTTATAAGGGAGATGCTGTTTCCCCAAAAGAAATGTAAACTCCTTGAGGTCAGGGAATGTTTTAGTTTTGTCTTGTATTACCATTACCTAGTGCCTGGCACACAGTAGGTGCCTACTACATGCTTGATGGATTCAGGGCAAAGACTCTGTCCTATTCAAGCATTAAGAACAGGCCTCTCCTTACACTGCTGATACCGGCTCCCACACACACACACACACACACACACACACACACACACAC